TTAGACATAGAATAATGATAAAATTTAATAACAGTGATTAACAATAAATAAGTTTATTCCTAAGTCACTAATTATAGTAGCTGCTAAAAATAACTGGATGTGTACAAAGTGTCAGTGATTGTGCAGGCAACCTTATTCCTTTTCATTAATCTTCAATAACTCCATGAGAAAGTTATTAATCCAATTTTGCAGATACGGGAACAGAAGTTCAGAGGGGTAACATGACTTGACAGACTCATCCCTCTCTCCTGGCCCATCTTGTGGCCAACAGAACATATTTGGGATATAACAACAAAGTTGAGTTTGTGGCCATGGACCAAGCAAAACTAGTAAGTCTACCGAGGCAACAAACCTATGTTCTTTGCATTATAAATACCAGGCTCTACTAATCCAAGGTCACAAAGATTTACGCCTGTGTTCTCTTCTAAGCGTATTATAGTTTTTGCTCTTACATTTAAGTGTTTGATCTATTTTGAGTTTATTTTTGTATATGATGTAAGTTAAAAGTCTAAATTAATTCTGTTGCATCTGGATATTCAGTTGTCCTAGCACCTTGTTGAAAAGACTATATTCTCCACTACTGAATTGTTAAAAATCAAGGTCAATTAGTTACCAGAGGCTGAGAAGGGTAGTGGGGATGGTTAACGGGCACAAAAATATAGTTAGATAGAATGAACAATGTTTGATAACAGAACAAAGTGACTATAATCAACAGTAAGTTAGGGTATACTTCCACTAAAAGAGTGGAACTGGAATGTTCCTAACACTAAGAAATGATAAATGCCTGAGATGATGGACACCCCAATTATCCTGATCTGATTAATTCATGTCAAATGCCTACATTAAAACATTACATGTACCCTATAAAGATATACAACTATTATGTACCCATAATAATTAAAAAAAATATCAAGGTCAGTTACACTGACCACTGCTATGGTTTGGATATGATTTCTTTATCCTTACCAAAATTCATGTTGACATTTGATCCCCAATGTGGTGGTACTGGAAGGTAGGGCCTAGCAGGAGGTGTTTGGGTCACGGAGGCAGATCCCACATGAATGGCATAGTGCCATTCTTGAGGTAGAAGAGTGAGTTCTTGCTCTGGTGAGACTAGATTAGCTATCACAAGAGTGGGTTGTTTGTTATAAAGCCAGGAAGCGCCTGGGGTTTTGCCTCTATGCACATTTCTGTTTTCTCTTTGACCTTCCCTGTCATGTTATGCCACAACATGAAAGCCCTTGGTAGAGGCCAGGGCCATGCCATTGAATTTCCCTGCCTGGAGAACTATAAGCTAAATAAACCTCTTTTCTTCTTAAATTAAAAACAAATAAGTAAATAAATAAATACTAGGCTCTAACCAAGTAAGTCTACAGGCACATGCCACATGATATCTGGCTAATTTTTCTATTTTCAGTGGAGACGGGGTCTTGTTCCTGCTCAGGCTGGTGTGGAACTCCTGAACTCAAGCAATCCTCCCGCCGTGGCCTCAGAGTGCTAGGATTACAGGCGAGAGCCACCGAAATGGCCAAAAAACTAGTATTTCTTTTTAAAGATTTCTCTCACTTTTAACCTATACTGGAAATCACAACTGCAATGTTAACTTCAAGTCTTTAGAAAGAATCAGGACGGCAGATAAAGATTTGGCCCAATAAGGCATTTCGTATCTTCTAAATAGTTTATAATAATTTATCTACAACAGCCCCATGAGCCTAGAAAAAAGGTTAACATTACCAACACTTTGTTATTGTCTTAATTTCTCTATCTCTAAAAATTCTAAGCTATTTAGTCTATTAGGACTTTTGACCTCATTCAGTGTAAATCTTTAAATGTTCAGTCTTGGCAGGGCACGATGGTTCACACCTGTAGTCCCAGCTACTAGGGAGGCTGAGGCAGGAGGATTGCTTGAGCCCAGGAGTTTGAGTTGCAGTGAGCTATGATAGTAGCCACTGCACTTTAGCTTGGGAGACAGAGTGAGACACTGTCTCAAACAAAACAAAAACAAACACATGTTCAGCCTTGATAACAAGATTTAAGTTGCTATGCCATTTGAGAATATGACTAGAGTGACAATTATGAATTATTCATAACTCTTATATGACAATTATTATGTAATTATAATTTATCATTTAAAGCAGTTCTGCCAAAGTAGGTGTTCAGAGTTATGGCAGGGAGCCCAGAGTCAATGCCCTTATTTTTTTATTTGCCATGCCACTTCTGCCACATAAGGAAGGCACTGCTGACTCCTATTCTATACTTTGGGAATGGGCATCTCAGACAAGGCACAATTTAGGATGGTTTGGAAGTGAAATATTTATGTGTTTAGTTTTCTCCTTTGTCTATTTACTTGCTCACAGCTCCTCCTCTGAAATTAGATACATGATTGAGTGATTTTTGCCTTCTCTGAGGTCAGCAGCACTCACCAGGATAGCCTTCGAGGCCATAGGCTTGCCACTTGCTGACGGGCTGAAGTCCTGCTCTATGTGCATCGTGCTCACTGACTGAGGACACACTTAGCTGAGATCTGACCACCTGGCAGGAAGGAAACAGAAGTCAGAGGACTAAAACTATTTTGCAGGTCAACCCTGGGAATCTCAAATCTCCAAAGACATTTCTGGTATGAGGCAAAGCTTAAGTTTGGGATATTAATCTTAGCTCCACCACTAAAATCTGATCTAGGAATTTTAGATGAGTCACTTAACTTCTTAGAGCCTCAGTTTCTCATCTGTATGCTAACAAACACTGGAGTTACACAAAATTAAGATAAGTGGTAATAAAAATATTTAAGCAGGCTGATTTTGGCACTACCTTTTCTTTTGACATCACACCTTTGTGACTTCTTAAAGGACTCTGAATCATGAAAGGCATTTCGTGTACTGAAATATCTCAAGTCACAAAGTTATTTTCTTCAGTTGGGGCAAACAATAATGTCTTTAAGACAGTTGTATAAAAATGTTTCAATAAAACACTGGGAACTCTGCTAAAAGTACAGTATTTCTTCTCTTTTAGACGAAATGTCAATGCTAGAACTTTTGCTTTTGTTAATTACTTTGAAATGAATTTAGTATTTCAGAGGCTGATGAGGTTTTCTTTGCACATGAAAGTATCCTATGGATGGCTCATTACATTGGTTACGAAACCTAATATGCAGTCATTAAAATAAGGACACTAAGGGAAAAAAAAACCATTCTTCCATGAATAATAAACTTAGGGTCTGGTTTGCCTTAGAATGTATCAAATGTTCTTTCAAAGATAAATGATCTTTTATCCTAACAACTTCTCTAAATGTGAGGATTTCCAGACAAAATACCAACAAGTGGCTGGTACATACCAAGTCTCTACAATAAAAAGGCTATCTGGAACCCTCTGAGAGTCCTGATCAGCAAAGCTTTCCAGGTACCTAGGAGCTGATAAAATATTTTAAAACATTTTGTCATTATTTCTTAAATAAGCCATACTTAATACTGCACTATAATTCAGCAATGCCATCAGAGGTGAAGTTTGTGGACCTAATCTATCATATGCTAAACTGATGCAAACCACTGAACTTTTAAAAAAATGCTTTCTTGCTTCCTCCCTTGCCAGACTGTTAGTCATGCTTTCCCCACTTCTCCCATCACCTGTTTTGTAATAGCAACTTTTCTTATTTGCTACTCTTAATCTGCTGCAAGCTGGGAAACTAAACACCCAAGCTTTCATTTTACTCAACCCATGCAGTATTTACTGAGTGCTGTTTTAGACACACAATGTCCCATTCTCAGGTGGCTAACATTCTAAAAGCATGCATACATTATGGTAAAATACAAGTAAAAGGAACCAAATGAGGACCTGAAGGGTTCTCCTGAGACAAGTATCATTCTGGCGCTGCAGACTTTCTGTATGTTAGTTTGAGAACTTTAACACCATTTTTACTAACAAATGAAGCTGCTGAGAACCTGAGCTCCACACAAGTATGGAGTTACTACAGCATTCCAATTTTGTTGAAAATTAATTGAGAGTTATTACGAAGCTTGGAAAGAATACCTCATCCAGACATCTGTGGACACCAAGAGCAAATTAAGGGATTAGATATCCTCAATGTTAAAGCGACTGTAAAGAAAATATACACTGCACTACGGTTGTGGTTTCCCTTGTGTCCCTTCCTATTATGTTTCTTTCTTAATTTCCATGGGAAAAAGTAGAAATAAGAACAAGCTTGGATTCTGTATATATTCATTCGCCGTTTATTTTCAGTTTAGAGGGTTTATCTCAGAATCTTTCCATGACCATTTTCTAAAAGGCCCAAAGAAGACCCGGACTAGCTTTATGCACAGCGGCTTAACAACGTCGGATCCCTCTCAATTCGGGGATTTCTCAGTAGTTGGTTTTTTCAAGCTGCAAAGCGCTACCTTAACGCCTACGTAGGCGTTCTACGGAGTTTTACACAAACCAAAATAGAAATGTAAGTGGACAGTTAAAGGAAGAAATAAACACCAGTTCTCAGGCTTTTCTGGCCGAGGCAGCCGCCGGAAATCGCGCGAAGAAACCGGCAGCACAGCACTTCATTGCTGAAGTGTGACTGTCAGTGGGAGTTCAACTCCGCGCCCAGAGACGGTAGGGATCGTGCAATAACAATCGGTCTGGAGGCGAAAAGAGGCGAGGAGGACACGGAAGCCCCTCCAAGAAGCGAGGAGAGGTAATGAGGCGGCGCGGGCCGTTCCTCTCGCTGTACCTTGTGGGCATTAGGACCCGTGCCGCGGGCTGTATGGGCCGCCGAGAAGTCGATGACTCCTCCCAGGTCTGCGGTCCCCGGCCGGCTCTGCCGGTAGAAGCGGAAAAGTTTCCGAAAGGCGTCCTCTCCAGGCTCTGTCGCCAGCGTCGCCACAGAGCCCACGACCGCCGCCATTTTCCCCATTTCGCTGCCTGGCCCTCTCTGATCCGGAAGCGGAGTCCCAAGCTCCGGATCCGGCGGGTTCTTCCGGGGTTGCGACCCCAGGGCGTGGAGGTCTGTCAGTCTAAAGATGGCGGCCGTGGCAGCGAGAAGTGCAATGGTCCTGCGTGCAAGTATTAATCGGCCCGTCGCCTTTGTTAGAAAAATTCCTTGGACCGCTGCGTCGAGTGAGTGATGGAGATGTGGGAGGGGTGGAATTTTTAGTTTCAAGCCATCCTCCAAACCTCTGTTTTCTTCAGAGCATTTAAGTCAGCGTGGTGGCTGGATTAGGAGGCGGAGTTTGCTCCTGAACATCCAGTGAGCAGAAAGAAATTTTCTTTGTAATTAACCGTTTAGGGATGCCCCCTAAGCTTTTGGGGCACGAATTCACTGCCTTTCGGAGTGATTTGGTGGAAAGGTTTATAACTTAGTAACTTTAGGATTTACGATTTATAAGGGATTATTTTGACTGCATTGTGGTGGGGCGATTCAAGATGGCAAAATTGTAGGCATGGAGACGAGCTAAAAGGCAATTTCAGGAATTTGATTCAAAGGTGAGGACCTGAACAAGGGCAGTGGTAGGAATGTGTGTGTCAGATCCACTTATGTAATCAATTTAGTCAGGAGGAGATAGGATTACTGACATATCAAGGGGAGAGAATAAAATGCAAAGGTGGGACTCCATGGGACAGACAGAATTCAATTTGCTGTCTTAGAGAGTAACTATAGGACAGCAATGGGAAATCAGGCAGGCAGGTTTGTAGGGTCGAATCAACAAATATGAGAGCACCAACTATTTAACCTAGTGTAAACTTTAAATTATGAAAGATGAGTAAATTGGGATTTTATTTGTGTAACCCAGAGCAAAAACGTGTGAGGATAAATTGGGATTTTATTTGGAAATTCTAATATAGCTGGAAACACACTGGATTGTAATTGTTTATCTTTTTCTTCTGGGGAATCTGCTCACAAAGGTTGTGTTAATAATCCACACACCTAGCAGAGTACCTGGTATGATGAAACACTCAATATTTGGTAAGAATGGAGACTGCAGCCAACTCAGCAATTTATCTGTCCACGTCCCCACCCCATCACCAAAGCTGGTACATTATAGCTTTATAGGTAGTATCATAGCTGCTTCCTAAATCTTAAGGCTTTAAGGAAATGTAAAGTAGTTCCTATCCATAAGAAGTTTGGGGACTCTAGGACCCTTTTTGGTTTCAATCTACAATCTAGGATAGAGAATACAAAATATCTTGACTTTTTTCTGTTTTCGGAGACAGGGTCTCACTCTGTCACCCAGGCTGGAGTGCAGTGGTACAGTCATAGCTCACTGCAGCCTCAAACTCCTGGGCTAAGCTATTCTCCCGCCTCAGCCTCCCAAGTAGCTGCACCACCATGCCCGGCTAATTTTCTTTTCTTTTTTCTTTTTAGAGATGGGGTCTTGCTGTGTTGCCCAGGCTGTTATTAAACTCTGGGGCTCAAGTGATCTTCCTGCCTCAGCTTCCCAAAGTACTGGGATTATAGTTGTGAGCCACCGTACGTGACTGTAACTACTTTTAATACGTTTTCTCTCTGTACAGGTGAGGTGAGAGAACACTTTGCACAGTTTGGCCATATACGAAGGTGCTTCATACCTTTTGTGAGTATCATCTTAAGAAAAAAGTATTAATGTTATCCTGTAATTCTTTTATCAAAGCATATCATTAATATCTAATGGAATGAAGCTATCTTTATTGATAAAATTATGGGTGATACTGATTAAAAATAACCTTTATCATAGGTATTTGTTAGTTTTTTTTAATTGTCATATAACAAATTAGCATAGCCTAGCTGGGTCGTCTGCTTAGGGTCTCACTAGCTATAATACATATGTCAGCTGGGGCTGCAGTGTGTCTCATCAGAGGCTCAGCTGGACAAAGACAGCCTTCCAAGCTCCTTCAGGTTGATGGCAGAATTCATTTTTCAACCCTAGGACTGAAGTCTCTGTTCTCCTGCTGGCTTCTGGCTTTCAGTTGGGGGCTACTCTCAGCTCCCAGGGATTGCCTGCCTTTTCCTTGTTACCTGGCTTTTCTGTAGGCTCTTACCACATGGCAGCTTGCTTTTTTAAAGTCGGCAATGGAGTTTCTCCAATGGGTTAAGATAGAGTCTCATGCATTAACATAATATAATCACAGGTGGTACCCCATCACCCTTGCCATATAACCTAATCAAGGGAGCAATAGCCTATCACCTTGGCCATATTCTTTTGGTTTAGAAGCAAGTCACATGCCCTGCCTCAAGGGGAGGGGATGCATGGCGATCATGGGGCCCATCTTAAAATTCTGCCTACTATGGTATTCTAATAAGGACTAGAGATAGTAGAGGATAATTTTATCATGAAACTAATGGGCAGAAAATTTCTATTTTAAGTTTTATTTTCCTTGAGTACCAACTTTTTTAGTATTTATAATAGAACAGTATTTTTATATAAATTATATTTCCTTTCCTTTCTCATGAGGGATTAGAAATCAATCTATAAATTTGTTCTCCTTTATCCTGAGCTATATTTTTCTGTGGGCTTTCTAGAATTATTGGGCTCTTTGGAGTGTGATGTGAGTACACATCGTTTACACACACTTTACGGAAACCACCCTTTTTTTCCTCGTGGCAAAGTCTGTGGTAAATGTCAACCCAAAGAAACTTAAGAAACTTAAATTCTTTTTCTTTTTTTTTTGTAGACAGTCTCGCTATGTTGCCTGGGCTAGAGTGCTGCGGCATCAGCCTAGCTCACAGCAACCTCAAACTCCTGGGCTCAAGCGATCCTGCCTCAGCCTCCCAGGTAGCTGGGATTACAAGCACACACCACCATGCCCAGCTTATCTTTTTTTTTCTATTATTTAGTAGAGACGGGGTCTCTGCTCTTGCTCAGGCTGGTCTTGAACTCCTGACCTCAAGTGATCCTCCCACCTTAGCCTCCCAGAGTGTTAGGATTACAGGCGTGAGCCACTTCACCTGGCCAAAAAATGTTTCTTCTAAAAAAAATTAGATTTCTTTTGGTTGCCATCTAAAAATACAAGTAATTTAGGATCTGGAAAGAACAAAGCTTAGATTTAAACAAAAGGCGGCTTTGCTTCCTGGTAAAACTAAATGCAATGGGAAAAAATGCATTTTCAGTTAAATTTATATACTCAAGTTGAAAATCCTGGTTCTGATCTTAGCTACAGATTATCTAAGTTTTAATACAAATTTTTTTAATGCCTTTCACTTTTGGAAATGGTCACATGGAGATGAAAGAGTGCTTTAGAAATTGTCCTATCTATAAGAGGTAAGGGAGTGGATCATTGGGACATCCCCGGAAGCTTTTCCTACATTCTAGGTTAATCCTTATAAAGTTACCTTTAAAGTATGGGAGCAGTTTCTGAGCATTTAGGTTTTTTGGCAAAGCACAACATAACTTGGTAATGAGGTTGATGAGGACCAGATGATCATCTACACTGAATAGACATCGTAGCATCTGTCCTTTATTGGCGGCCTCGGGTGGGGTACATCCAAACACTAGAATCTTCTTTTCCATGTATGATGTATAAGTTGAATAAAAGCACTCTGCCTTTTGCACAGGTAGGAAAATTGTTTAAAGTAACCAGAAGTCTGGAACTAGATTAAGTAAGGGTAATGTTTGTCTTCTTTCCAATTTTTTTTATTAGTAACGTGATGATAATGGTAGTGGTAGTGATGAAGGTGACTGGTCTCAGAAATAAGCAGATAATGCAACTAGCTAGGTTTTAAGGCTTAAGTTTCTAGTTTTTAGAAATGAGGTTAGAAATAAGCATACTTTAGTGATCAAAATTTCCCTGAGTTATCACTGTTATTGTGGTTTGCACCTAGAATGACACACAAAGCTCATTACCCCTATCTTCTCCAATGCAGCAGCAAAGCAGAGAGAATCAGTTTAAACACAGCCTTGGACAGCTCAGAGGAGTAAACATATACTAAATCAAGGTTATTGGCATTTATTTATATCTGTAATCTGATTTTGGCAGATGAAAAAGTTATTAGTTTGATTTGAGCTCATGGAAACTTTCATAAATTCATGATTAATTAATCTTTTCCTGTATTTAAAATTTTTAGGACAAAGAGACTGGCTTTCACAAAGGTTTTGGTTGGGTCCAGTTTTCTACAGAAGAAGAACTTCAGAATGCACTACAACAGGAAAATCACTTCATTGATGGAGTAAAGGTAAATCTGTTTCCCAAGACGTCATGAGCTTTCTGTGTATCCATTAAATAGGTCAAAAGTGTGGACTGGCAGGGACTTTGGGAGATTTGTAACCAACTGAAGCTGCCTTAATGCTTGTTAAAGAGTGGTGGTGGTAGCGTGTCCAGTTTTAAAAGGTCTGGGGAAGGAAGTACAGGAAGACCCTTTAATGGGTAGCATAATGTATGTAACACAGAAGAATGGAAAGAGCAGTCTAAGTCAGGCAAACTGGTGATGAAATCCTGGCTTTCCCACTTACTGTGTGATCTTAGTCCAAATTATTTATAACTTTTAATGGGAGTTTAGGGAGTCTTAAGAACAAGGAATACACAGCAGCTGCTTGAGTTATTGGTACTGACTGACTCCCTAATAAAAAGGCAATCTTAAAATGGTAATTTTCGTTTTAATGTTTTTGTAGACATTGCCTTGCCTTACAGTGCTTATTTGATTTTTTTTTTCTAGCTCCATGTTCAAGCTCAAAGACCAAAAGTTTTGCATGGCGATCAAACATCTGATGGAGAGAAAGATTTTTAAGACCATTCCTGCATATTAAATAAAGTTAACTGAGAATTTTGTCTAAATGGTTTTATTTGAAACAATAGTTGCACCAAGCAAGAGCTTACTTTCCCCAGTCCAAATTAAAACAGCACAATGTGGGGGAAAAGTCATTTGGTAGCACAGTTCCAGTATGTGAATATCGCCCTCATCATGGTTGGGGTAACTTTATTCATAAGCAGTTGTTCATACACAAAATATTAACCCCAAACTTCTAGTGTCACACAAAAAGAAGTGGTCTTAATTTTGTATGTGGGGCAGTATGTTCTATAAATGCCAAAAGGTGGGAGAAGCACAAACACAACCCACTCTTTAAAAAAACTAGTTCAAAGTAGAATTTTCTATCCCCCCTTTCTCCTGTAATAAAAAGTAGTGCTGGGATGTGTCACCCAGATTTGGTTTTTATCCTGACCATTTACAAAGTATTCCCCATATGACTTGGCATCATTAGGGTTACAGATAACAGTTCATTCACTTTGAAGAGACATGTGTCTACTCCTTCCTCCTTTTCTTGCCTTCATGCTCATGTTCCTTGGGGCGGCTGCTCTCTGAAGGTCTTTTAGAGCCACCATGCTGTTTGGCTTCTTCCAAAAACTTGTCCAAGCCAAAAGGATCTTCCTCAAACTGAACTGGTCCTTCTCTGCCTCTCTGCCTACGGTCTGAACCGGAAAATTCCTTGTCCGGAACAAATCTAGGGAAAGAGAGAAAGGACTATGAACTACTTTGTTTTCACTGGTGTAAACATTGACAGTGAGGTGTCTCACTTGGTACCTGTTGGTCTTTATTCTGGCTTCTAGGTCATCACCATACATGTCCTTGTCCAGATTTTTACTGGGCCTATAAATACTCTGGGCCATATCTTTACCACCTCTCCAGGCTTGATCATAAACATTGTAAATTTCATCTTCTCCACCTGCAAATCCACTGTCCATACCCTGTGGAAAAAAAGGATATTAAAGATGTATACAGTATTTTTATTAAAAGCAAAATCTGATTAACATTCACATGAAGAGTAAACCCTTGCTCATTTATAGCTCACGTTTTCAACCATCTGAACTACAAATTTTAAAAAGGTCTTCATTATACTCAAAGCGCATATAAATTTTTGTTTCTATCACCTTTGGGTCCTTACCCAGAGGCTTAGATTAAACAAGGTTAACCCATTAACAAGTTTAATTACTTTTAGTCACTGGAATTGCAGGATGGTACTATACGCAGAAACTAGACAATTTCAATTTGTATTGACACAGTGGCAAGATGATGAAAGAATTCTAAAACATTTCTTTGTTATACTCCTTAACTGCCTAAGGACATCACTATTATACCCATAAGAAAGTTCTCCATGTTAAGTCAACAAGAAACAATAGAAAATTTTTCATCACGATTTTTAAATGCTTTAACCTTAAGCTTGGGACAGGTGATTACCTTGAAAATATTTACTTATGTGGAAATTTCATCCCTACATAACTTTGCTCAGGCTGATAAGTTGCCATTGCACAGTGGTTAAGAACAAAGCTTTGGAAAAAAGACACCCAAGTTTGAATCTTAATTCCATCAGTTACTAGCTAAACCTCTCCGTCTCAATTGCCTTATCTCAACAAGAGATAATAATAGTATGATTTTATAGGGTTTTTCTAAGGATTAAGTGAAATAATACAAGTAAAAAAAAGACTGAGAACGATGCCAGGAATATAAAAAGCACCTAATAAATTATTATTATTACTTAGAAGGGCTTACTCAAATACTACTAAGAAGATAGATATATATCTTCTCCAACAGACTATGGGTTCTTTGAGAGCAAAGATGCCTTCAAAAATCTTTGATCTTACTGACTTAGGCATAGTTAGTAATCAGTGTTATATGAATTAAAATACAAAGGTACTTCTCCCAGGCCTAAAGTGTCCTAGTTAGTTAATCAGAACTGGTACTAGAAATCTGATTTCCTGAAAATCAGTCTAGTACTTTAATCCAGTTTTACAGCTTCACTTTTCAAAGATTCCGAAGTTCAAATGTAAAAAAAAATCCAAGAGGTACTTTTGTAGGACATTGGCTCTGTTTTACAACAAAAGACTGATAAAACCAATAGAACCAAGTTTTATCAACTAATTTCTTTCATTTTCTGTTATTGTCCCAAATTTTAGCCAACTGTAAGAGGCCACAATCGGAACTATTTCATCTTATTTGTCTCTTAAGTTACAACAAACAATTTCCAATTTTTTTCTATCATCATACTGGCAAACCTTAGGCTGATGAGGATAGGTATTCACATCAACACACAATATATGCTGCTTTGAAACTCACTGTACCTTGGATTGGTTGAAGAGCCTTTGGTCATACTGAACGTCATTGGAAGTCCGAGGATTGGGCACACCAAGAGCAATGACTTCACTGATATCCCGATTTTCATTTCTCTGAAGTTTCGACCTATTTTGAAATATGACATCACTAATTAAAAACTCTTTACAAACTGAATATATTCAATTAAAATACAACCATTCTCAGAACAAAGGAAATGACTATGTCATGTTCACATCTGGTGAATATATATTCCCTGATAATGCACAATCAGGTTTGGCGGCCCTTACAAGATTTCAAATTATGTGATTAGAGGTAGATTTTACAATTAGGATTTCCTGTTAGCTCAAAAAAACATCCAAGAGACCCATTCTTGACGTGGAATTTTTTTTTTTTTTTTAAAGACAGGGTCTTGCTCCGTCACCCTGGCTGAAGTACAGGGACACAATCATAGCTCACTGTAACCTCCAACTCCTAGGCTCAAGTGATCCTCCTACCTTAGCCTCTCAAGTAGCTGGGACTACAGGTACATGCCACCATGTTCAGCTAATTTTTCTTATTTTTTGTAGAGACAGGGTCTCACTGTATTGCCCAGGCTAATCTTAAACTGACCTCAAGCAATCCTCTTGCCTTGGCATCCCAAAGTGCTTAGATTACAGGTGTAAGCCACCATACCCAGCCTTTGACATGGAAGTTTTAAATATAAGTAATCACCTTATACCCATGCTAAGATACGACATTGTTATGGTCTATATTTGCTATTATTATAGATGGATTTAGGAGTTGGGAAAATAGATGCAAATGGGATGCATCACTTGAATCATTTTCAATAAGTTAGAATCAGCTCTTTTATTTAATCATATTTAGTCATTTTATCCGACTAGAATTTTGAGAAAAATGTCAATGACTGGATTATTCAGTATGATTTTTGATATTTGGATTAATTTAATTCCCCTGCTGTTTAACTATGTATGAAATCTACATTCTAGTGAAACCATGGTAACTGTAATCACTTATTTTACTAGAAGCTCAGACCCTAAAATGATTTCTATAGACAATTTGGCTTTCATCCAATCACAACTTTAAAGCTTTTCTATGTTATCAATTCTCATAGCCACTTTACTGGCTTAAAGGGCCCAAATTATCTACAGAGCAGCGGTCCCCAACCTTTTTGACACCAGGGACTGGTTTCCTGGAAGACAGTTTTTCCTACAGGAAAGTGCACAGCCTGGATCCCTCGCATGCGCAGTTTTCAGTGGGGTGCAGTTTGCAGTGACCCCCATGAGGGTCTGATGCCACCACTGATCTGACGGTGGAACGGGGAGGGGGGCAGGGCTCGGCAGTGATGTGAGCAATGGGGAGCGGCTGTGGGTGCAGGTGGGGCTTTGCTTACTCACCTGCCGCTCCTGTGCAACCCAGAGCGGGTGGGGGCTTGGGGACCACAGCTACAGAGCCATTTTAATTTTTATAACTCAGGAATTTCCAACCAAGAGTGTCATTAATTAAACACTTTCACACTTCATTCTTCTTTCTTTTACACTGTGCATCTACCCAAAACTTTAAATTAAGATTTTCTGCTTCTCCATTACTTCAGCTTATCCAGGGAGATAAAATATGCCAATTAAACAACAAAGAACACCAGCAGGAATCTTTTTTGATGTTTAAGATATGACTTAGAAAAAATAAGTATCAGCTCATAGGATGATCAGAGCATGGAAAACTTCATTTGGGAAGAAAATGTCTTATATTTGCATTTAACTCTCAGAATTCCATTTCCATATGACAGCATTTCCTCAACCTTTCAGTAATTTTAGTCCTCAGCCTATAGTGAACCACAAACTTCCTCACTCCCTACTTTACTCTATGCCCCGATACATGTATTTGGTTTGTTCCATACAAGTTTGTATTTATTACAAGTGCTGTGTAAATTTTCCCAAATTATTTTATCCAAGAGCTCTTTCTGAATTTTAAGATAAATTGTTCCTGAGAACTAATTTTCACTTCTTTCAAAATCTGCTCTTTTCCCCCATTGAACTGGGTACAGTGCTCTGCATATAAAAGGATCTTAATAAAGGTATGGCAGCTTATTTCCTGTCTAGAGAAATAGGCACATAATCAATTTGTCTCACCATTTGAGGTAGGAAAAGAACAGGCCAGAAGAGTCCCATTCACTACTTCCTTTTCACAAACATGATCTGAATTCCTTTTTCTATATCCTCATTATCGTCAATTCTAACTGATGCTACAAGATGATGAAAGAAAAGATTACTTCCAGGGATAGTCACTTCTACTAAGACAAAGTAATTAAGTGCAAGAAAATTAAGTGCTAATTTATTAAGTTACCGAGTTAAAGAGGAAAAGGAGAGAAGCAAAACTCATTTTAGTGGACTAAAACTGTCCTCTAAAAAGGTAGAAAAAGGCCACTCTTCATAATTTGTACGTATCTCAATTAGCACCTACCTCTTATCAGGCGCTGCCCTGGAAAGGTTCCGGTCATGCTGTCTTTCTTTTCGCCTATCATGCCGGATTTCATCCCGCTCACGTGCCTCCCCATCCTCTGTGTGGACACAGTTGAAAATGACTTTATTACTGTATTATCCATTAATATTTTAAATAAGAGAATATTATTTTGAAAATTCCATGAACTTCTTTGTAGTCACACTCAATCTTTTAAAACTTACTTGGAATCAATTTAAATCTAATAAA